CTCTCCAGTGCAATCTGCAGAGAGCACCATAACTTGAAATTGAGTCACTTCTGTTACTGGACTTCAGAAGTTTAAAAAAATGTAGTAGTATTGTAGGTACTGAACAGCACATTTGGGAGAGGGTGTGTCAGAGTGAGTAAAACAGCTTATCTGACAGGGCTGTATGTAACTAAACCTGCTATAGCAAAAATACTGATCTTTTGATCTGAGGATGCTACTAGAGAAATCTCAGCCACTGTTTAACGTCTGAGTGAATACCTGGGCTGTTGTGCATTGTGTCTGCTGTGGGGGTTGTTCGTGTGGATCAGAGAAAGAAAGAAAGGACATAATCAAAGCTTTTTTGTGATGGCTGCCACCTGTTTGTTACATACCAGCACTTCCAGAATTAAACCAAGCAAGTATTTCAGCTGGCCACCATTACCATGGCTGCAAATGGGAACTAAATTCTCTCAGTTAGTTTCTAGTTGTGGGAGAGCAGGAGACTCAACACTCAACCATCTGTGCAGCTGCAGAGCCTTCAGAGTGGACAAAATGCAGGTCCTCCAATGGCATTTCCAGTGCATGTCACATAACATGGCTCCAAGCACCTCTAACATAGCGGGGAAATTTAATAAAACTTTTTAGTGTAAGTAAGGCCAGGAAAGAAATTATGCGTTTTGTTTTCAGGAATTAATGTGTATGTGGTTGTATAAGTAAAGCAATTCCTGGACTGTACCTGGCAGCAATAAGGGACTTGATAGTCTCTTTTGTAAATCTTTCATGTACTGTTAAGTGGCTAAAAAGCCAGATTTCTGTAGGCCGTATTTTTAATTACAGTCAAATGTGACTAGTTTCATTTATGTAATAGTGGGTGGACAGAGCTATGATTAAGTAGTTTCTAGAAATCTTGTTATGACTAATCTTGGTTTGGTGTTATTTTAGCTTCTTAGTCTTGGCTTTTATGTACAAGGATTTACACTTTGCCGAACAGTTGGAATTCTCCTTAGGGGAGCTGCTTTAATACAGAAGCTAGAAGTTTACAAAAAGTTGATAAAATACTTAAGGATGTACTTTATTTATGAAAGTAGGCATTAATGTTTATTTTTAAGACTGGTGACCATAATGATCTGATTTGTAGGGCAGTGAGCCAGAAGGCAAGGAAAGCAGGAAACCTAGATGGAGCAAATCTGAAACAGGGTTATTGAATGTATTTTTTCTTGTTCAAATGGCTCTGACTGATTGGTGCTGCAGAAACACTGCGTGCGCTTCTGAGCTTGGAATGCAATCTCTCACTGCCTCCTTCCTGCACTCTCTTGATCAGCCAGAGCAGCCTCACCAGTTCCAGGACAAAAAGAGCAAAGGAGCCCAGATCATAGAATCACAGAATGGTTTTGGTTGGAAAGACCTTTAAGATCATCAAGTCCAGCCATTGATCCAGCCCTACTAAGTCTGCCACTAGCCATAAAAGACATCTGTTATCTTTTAAACACCTCCAGGGATGGTGACAAAACCACCTCCCTAGGCAGCCTGTTCCAGTGCTTTACAACCCTTTCAAGTAGAAATATTGCTCCTAACATCCAACTTAAACCTCCTCTGGTGCAACTTGAAGCCGTCCTACCACTAGCTACCAGGGAGAAAAGACTGACCCCTACCTTGCTACACCCTCCTTTCAGTTATAGTTATAGTAAGTGATAAGGCCTCCCTTCAGTCTCCTTTTCTCCAGACTAAACAATCCCAGCTCCCTCAGCTGCTCCTCATAGTGCTTGTGCTGTAAACCCTTCACCAGCTTCACAGCCCTTCTCTGGACACGCTCCAGTGCTTGGCTCTGTTGATCCTCATGCAATTGGCTGCAGCCCATCACCCAGGTCCCTCTGCAGAGCCTTCCCTACCCTCAGGCAGATCAACACTCCCTCACAACTTAGTGTCATCTGCAAACTCAGTGAGGGTGCACTTGATTCCCTTGTGTATGTCATTGATAAAGATAAACAGAAGTCGCCTCAGCACTGAGCCCTGGGGAACACCACTTGTGACTGGTTGCCAGGTGGATTTAACTCCATTCACCACAACTCTTTGGGCCTGGCCATCAGCCAGTGTTTTACCCAGTGAAGTATATACCCATCCAAGCCATGTGCAGCCACCTTTTCCAGGAGGATGCTGTGGGACACAGTGTCAAAAGCTTTACCAAAGTCCAGGTAGACAATGTCCACAGCCTTTCCCTCATCCACTGAGCAGGTCTTGTTGTAGAAGGAGATCAGGTTGGTCAAGCAGGATCTGCCCTTCCTGAACCCATGCTGACTGGGCCTGATCGCTCGGTTGTCCTGCATGTGCCGTGTGATGCACTCAGGATGACTTGTTCCATCACCTTCCCTAGCACCAAGGTCAGACTGACAGGTCTGTAGGTCCCTGGGTTCTTGTTCCAGTTCTTCCTGTAGATGGGCATCACGTTTGTGAGCCTGAGACCTCTTCAGTTAGCCAGGACTGCTGATAAATTATGGAAAGTGGCTTGGATGGAGAGAAAAATTCTTGATCGCTGCTGAAAATGTTGAGTTCAATATTAATTTGTTAGAAGCTTAAATTACCTGTAATGAACTTACTGGAAAGTGAAGCATCAGACCAAACAGGTTCTAGAAGCATGAGAACAGGTAGCCGCTGCGCCTCAAGACGTTTCCCAAAGAATCTGACTTTTGCTCCTCTCAGTATTTTGAAGGGTTTCATGTTTGTCCTTTGTAAGCTGAACCAGCATAGCCTGCTTTTAGTGTTGTGAGTGCAATTCAGCAATATATTCAGACTGATCTAACTGATAGCTCAGGGAGCTAAAATACTAAGTTGTCCTTATGGGGGAGGTGGAGAGAAGCTTTCCTTAACTCCTCCTCATGGCCTGTCACAGAGTCACTGAGCACTTGTGCAGGAGATACGGTGGGATCTCCTCTGCTGATAGCTGTGAAGTTACCTTGGCTGTGTTGTCATACTGCTCCCCACAGAAGTTTTTGAATAGTAAATCCCTCTCCTAATTTTGAGCACAAATAGATCTCAAGCCTGTTACTGCAGGATGAAAATGCTCAGAGATTGTGCTTACCAAAACAGAGTTAACGTTGTTGTAAAAGAGCGCGTGCTGAAAGGAAAAAAAGTTTCAGACTGTGCAAGGAGCTGGCGTCTTGTTTCCTTAGAAGCAGGTGTGAAAAGCAGTGTGGAAAACGGCGTGGTATGACCAGAGAGTTGCAGCAGATGAGTGTGAGCTCAGAAACATAAAATTACAGTTTAAGAATGGGCACGTAGGATAAAATCCTAGATAATTTTGCACACCGAAGCAACTCTTTCATAGCTCAAGCATTTAGGATGATGTCAGATGCTGCTGTCAATTAATTTCTTGGGCTAATGCAATATGGAACTGCTTAAAGTTTAATGGAGAAACAGATTGAGCTACAACATACACAGCAACTGATGGTTGTGGTAAAGCTCAAATTTACTTAACTTGCCTTAAATTGTGAGCCACTGGGTAAGGCTGGTTGGTTAATGTTGATTGTTAAATAACTTTTAAAAACATTTTGAAGATGGTCTTTAGTAAGTGAAGGAACAGTTCACATGCTTCCAAACCAAGAGAATAAATGCAATTATTTAAGTGAAAGATGCGTAGTAAAATTCATATATGAATGTCTCAAAATGCTTACAGCTGGAGAGCCTGTAAGCCACTGGCTGAAGCTTGTTTCTGTTAGTTTTTTGTTGTTTGGTTAGTTGTTTCTTCTGCAAAAGCTAAAGGATAATAGGATATTTTTAGTAATAGCATTTGCTTCTTGGTTTGAGTTCATGGCTTGTTTTGTGTTTATTTATTTATTTTGTAAAAAATAATAACTGTAATTGTAGACTGAAACTGAGTTCCTTCAGCTTATGAAAGATTCAGTTCAGGAGGCTCATGAGTCAAACCTTATACTAATGGCAAGATTATATGTCCAAGTAGAGTAAAGTCTCAAATTTACTGCTGACTTGCTTTGAGCCAGTTGTTGTAGCCATAAAACATCTGCAAAACACCAGAGTTTTCCTTGCATAGGGGTTTGCTTGAGTAGTGATGGGGAAGGCTGCGGGGCTGTCGGAGTGTTTCCATTTCTGAGGCCATAGCGTACTCGCCTCTGGAATCTCTCACTATGGTAAAAGGACGATGCACCTCAAGTGAGAGCCCAGCACGGGAACCCCTCTGCAGGGTCAGAAATGCTCTTTCCAGTCTGTTTTTAACAAAAGAAATATGGTCCTGTTTAAAGTTTTCCAGCCCTTTAATTGAAGCTGTAGCAAAAATTCAGTGGTGTCATTAATCTAATGTTTGACTCTAGATAAGATGTGGAAGGAGGGTGGAGAGGGAAGGAGGTGGCTGACAGTTTTGAAAGAAACCTGGAACAGAGCCTTGTCCTGCCCCATTTGGGGCTTATCAGGATTACATCCGTGGGGAAGGGTTCGGTCTAAGTTTTCCAATACTGGAATGTAATTTATCTATAAATCAGTTTATGGAATGTTTGAATACTTGACAAATGCATGCAGGGAGTAATTTTGCAATAAATATTGTGAGCATTATGATTTTTGTTTTTCCTCGAATATTTGAATGTAACAAAATGTTGAGAAATTATACTTTTTAAGCTTTTTCAAACTTAAGTGAAAGTACACTGTTTTCTGGAAAATAAGAGATTTGGAATTGTAAAGGATATCTGGAAATACTTTTCAGTTTTTTTTTACTTTCAGGGAGTTGGAGTAAGGTGGTCCTGATGGGTATTCAGTCAGGTGACTGACACGTGTCTAAAGATTAACAAAATTCGGTCATCTACCGCTTAACAAAGTGGATGTTTACATTGGGTGTGTTTTCATTGCCAGTAATCCTCGGGCTGCAGTCTATTAGCTGATTTCCTGCACGGTAGTGACTGCTGACACTTGGTTGTTCCTTAAATGACTGGATGTAATCAGTCTTCTTCCCTGAAAGGAACGTTATTTCTCATATTCAAGACGAAGCTTTTTTACATGTGAACTTTCTCTTTTTACAGTGCTGTAGGTAAAACATGCCTACTCATCAGTTACACAACCAATGCATTTCCTGGAGAGTATATACCCACTGTGTAAGTACTCTTCTTAAAAACTCATTTATGTCAACTTCTCTGTGCTTACTGCCATTCCAGATTCCTTGTTTGAATTCTGCACGCACTCCTCAGTTTTATCTTAAATATTTATCTGAGTACTCAGGTTTATGTAGGAGAAGCGCTTTGGGCTTTTGCTGCTTAGCATGGCCATACCAGTGGCTGTTCATACTCATCGACTTTGCCTCCCTCTGCCCACTAGGCCTAGCTTATTAGGGACTGACATTTACTAACATTTTATCAAGTTCTGTTCCCTTTTAAAATATTGCGTTATTTTTGTGTTTTAATTTTTTAATTAAAGGCAGCCACAGCTTCTCAGGCGTGATTGTGAGGATTCATTTATTTTGGTGCTTCCCATTTTCTTGCATGTAAGGATTTGTTAGTATCGGTATTGGTGTACTTCTCTTTTTTATGCCCTGTTGTGGGGAGGCATTTTATACATGAGCAGCATTCTTGTCCTTTCCAGATGTCTCTGTAATTATCTGGCTCTCTTGCTCTCTGCATGTATTGATGAGTTTTTCAGATAACAAAATACATTCTAATAAGATTTCCAGATGACTTTAGTTACCTTTTTAAGGTCTTGTTGTTTTAATTACTCCTGATTACTTTTTTTTGGCCTTAAATTCAGATTTTTGCTTTACAGTATGCTTTTGTTCCCAGTGAACTTAGTTTAGCCTTAACAAGTCATTAAAGCCTTTGCGCTTACATTAGTAGTGAGATAAAAGTCATGCCTCTACGGTCCCTGGTTATTAACTTTGATATTTCATCGAAGAAGTTTTTGATTAGCAGAATTAATAAGGTTTTTTCTTACCCACTGTCATTAAGGATTCCTTCGTCATTGGTCACATATCTGCAGTTCTGTGTCCTGCACAATGACACAGATTAACGTGCTGGGTGTCCCAGTGAGACTGGAAAGTGCTTGCTCAGTGCATCACCTGCTTTTCTCTGCTTACAGAGCTTAACAGCTCCTTTGGAAGAGCAGTGAAAGGGATCACCTCTGCCCAGACTGGACCAAGGCTGTTGTACGTGTTTTTTCCTGCCTTTACCACGCCCAGTGTGTAAAGAACAACTTTGTTTCTGGAGATAAGGATGCAATAAAAATGTTTCCTTTTGTAGTTTACCCAATTAGGGCTGTGTAGGAAGAAATCCTTGGTGCCTGATTTTACTGCAAGCCAGCGCAGCTAACTCTTTTGTTTTTCAGTTTTGACAACTACTCTGCTAATGTAATGGTTGATGGAAAACCGGTCAATCTGGGTTTGTGGGATACAGCTGGTCAAGAGGACTATGACAGACTGCGTCCACTCTCCTATCCGCAAACAGTAAGAACTATGGGGTGAAACTAGAAAGCATCCGTACAGCTTTGTCTAACAAATGTTTTTTTCTTTTTGAGCTTAAGGCCAGCGTGGTCACATCTGGAGTTGTATTTCTTAGTAACAGTGACTGTTGCTAGCTACCTTCATTCCTCCCATGTGCTGTAGCTGTAATATTATAATCTTTGATGTGTGTACAATTGTACAAATGTTAAAAATCTGTATGTTTGTATCTGCATGCAGCAATGTATGTTGGCTTTTGTGTAGTTGCAGCCTCAGAATCAACCATAATGCTTGATTTAAAACAAGAAAAAAACCAAACCCGCAACAAAAAACCCCTAAAACAAAACCAAAAACCCTTGGTGAATAGCCCCGTCAGCTAGTCCATTGATTTTAAGGTTAGCATGCCTGCCAAAAGCAGGGTTTGTTTTTGTTTTCAGGCGTGATGTTTGGCTGCAACCTGACACTGCTAAGCACTTGATACTGTTTAGTCTCTGCGAAGATGTTGGCAATGTGAGAGAGGCAGCACTGAATGAAGATATTCTTGGTATTGACAGAGGCTGTGTCGGAGCTTTTGAATATACTTCAGGCTGTGACTATTTTATTACTTTTTGTAGTTTGTGCTATAACACCAATACAAATGCGCTTCTGTCTCCCATGCTTGCAACTGGTTAAGTCCTGTGTGCTGCATCTCTCCTTGTGTAAGGAAAATGCTGAAGTAATCTCTTTTTCTTTCCAGTGTGACTTCAGCTACAGCTAATCCTTGCAGAGCCTGGTTCTGTAGTCTCTTTAGAGCAGTTACTGCTATCTGGTGGAGCTGTCCTATAAGTAAAGAAAGGTGGTAATTTGCAGGGGTTTTCTAGGCATGGATTACTGTTGTTAACTGTCAAACACATATATTCAGTGCTAATAATGTAAAATGCAAAATTGTTCCAGTAATTCTACAGCATAACTGCTCTCTTGAATGTGAATTTTATTTAATGAACTCTGGTGCTTTATAAAGTAAACTGTCTTAATTCACAATGTTCCTTAATTTGCTGCTCTCCAACTCTTACTGTTAGGCATTCCCATCAGTTATGATATCCAAGATGTGTATGAACTTGCCAGTGGTAGGTAATTCTAGCAGAAATGCCAGAAATATCTCCCTTTTCTAGGGAGAGAAACAATGAAAAGGTGTTTTTCCTCTAATATTTAGATATTTATAGGCTACTTAAGAGAACTTAAGCTTTGCTTAACATCGTAAAAATAATTTCAAAAAAGTATCTTGGTAGAAAAAAGCATGTGGAAAGATCAATAGCTCAATAGTGAGAGAAAGCGGAGCTGTAAGGGAATTATTGTTCCTCTCCTGTGACAAAGGGACAGAACACACATGCGTGCTTTCAGACAGCTAAAATACCTGTGGCTTTCTGATAGGCTGCAGAAGAATTCTGTGTCAATCTGAGCATCCTTTTGGGGGGGGAAAAAGTCTCTTCTGTACAAGCATGTGTAACTGTTAAGTAAAGGTTTGAAGTACTTTCTGTTATTTGGATTATTTTTGATAGCAGAAGTTGAAACAGAGTGGTAAGTCTTAAACTTATGAAGCAGCCTTCCTGTTTTAGACTTGTGCAATATGCAAGATTTATCATCACTTTTAAAGGACAAAAAAACCAAGAGGGAGGAAACAGTGGAGCTGATGAAACTCGACTTTCTTTAGGAGACGTTCAGCCTCCCCCTTCCTGCACTGTGCTATTTAAAACTCACCCCTCACATGTTCTTGTGGCCTGTTTCCCTGTATGTGCAGCTGAACTACATTCTGGGCAAGGTGAAGCAGGTATTGCTGGTTTACTTGGCCAGTGTGTATCTCTGTCAGCCACCCAGCAGATCAGCAGCTCTTCACTTCACAGGAGGGATGCAGGCAGTTGGTTGTGCTGAATTGCAGGGCAGGGTCTCTCTCAAAAGTAAAGCCATGTTTATTTGTGAGTGCAAATCGCTGACTGAGAACGCTTTCCCTTAAATCCATTTCAGGAGTAACTTTATCTCCTACTGTTGTTAGGTTGGGGGAACCAATGGTAAGAATATATCTTCCAGTCTGACAGATCAACCTATTGCCGTATGTAAAACTTTAAATAAACTTCAGTTCCAAGTTCTGTCATCTTGTCTTGCTTATGATAGTGATAAATTGGCCCCTATTTTTAAAAACAACTACTTTTCTTGGAACTATTGAATTGCTTGATCTGAGAACTGTTACCAAATCTCTTTATGTGAGTGGCAAATCTTGCAAATAAAGAGCTTTGCCTCCAACTTCCTAAAATTGGTAGTGTGCAAGACACCTGAAATCTTCAAATACTTCCTCATGGTTACACTGAATTTCTGGATCTCTGGAGCTAGTAAAGGAGAGTGTCTGCATAACGTGCAGAAATTTAGTCGCCACAAACCTGCAGAATTGGAAAACAGAAGTAGTGGCCATAGTATCACACATTTGATGTTGTTTCTTTCTTCTTCTGGGACACTGCTACGGAAACTTGTTGGGGTGATGCATGAACAACTGGGTTGCAAGTGCTTAGCAGTGCAGATGTCAGATGCTGACCTAACAAAAAGCCTTGAAATGCAGCACAATCAACTAACACTCTGCAATGCCTGATTCTTTAACACGTTTGATACCAGAGTAAGTGTGGATGCAGAGGTAGGTTGAGGAAAGTTGTGCTTGTTTGAGAGATGCTCACTGAGTTTTGGGTCATACAGGTTAGATTACAGTCTTCATCTTAGAATTAATTTAGTGGTTATTCTGAATGTTTGCAGACTGCAGTGTGTCATGTATGAAGCTTATTGTTTTTTGAAACACATACTGTAGAGCAGTTACTGTAAACATGTATGCTAAAATATTTTACCTGCTCTTTCTCACAATCTTTCTTTTGCTGTCAGCTGAAAAGTGAGATGTGCAAGATCTCTGAAGACACCCACTTTCCTCTCTGCTTTCTTGTAATTTAGAAAAGGAGAGAGCTAGTGGCATACTTTAAAGTTTTTAATACCCTTCTCAACTCCAATTTGGTTACAGAGAAATCCTGAAATCTCTTTATACTGACATTCTGTGGAAGTGACAGTTCTACAAAATTACTCTGATTTGGGCACAGCAGCAGTAATTGTGGAAATGGGCAGACTGTATACTTTGCCTTTGCAATTGAAGGTGACTTTAGAGTAGTATGTTAATAGTGTGTATTTTAAAAATTGGTACTAACAGTAACACTTTGCAACATCCTATGCTGATGAGTTACATTTCTTTCAAGGCTTAAATCACGTGGAGGTCTGCAGACAGTATCCAAGCCCAGAAGAGAAGCCAGTCTAAGGACTCTTCATTGCTTCTGTGTTTGTCAAGAGTCCGAAGTGTTTTTGTGGTTTTGGTTTTTTCTGAATGTGAGGGAGAAGAAATGACATTTAGAGGAAGAAAGCTTGCAGTGTGATGGCATTAGTGTCTTAGTAGCTGGCTGCTGCAATAGCTGATCATAAACCTGATTACAGTCTGGCTGATGTTGCCTCCCTTGTGTCTGCTCAGAGCTGCCTGGGAATGGATTTCCCCTGGGAAAGCTCCCTCCAGTTGTCACATGCAAATCTATCACTGACCTTGCTGTTTGCAACCATGATCTATGATGATCTATGATCTAGATGATGGTGTGATTCAGATGCTTGTGATAGTGGCCTTTTCATGAGATCTTATGGTGGTTGCTCTGCTGCGCTAATGTCTTTCAACTTGTTTCACAGGATGTCTTCTTAATCTGCTTTTCCCTTGTGAGTCCCGCTTCCTTTGAAAATGTCCGTGCTAAGGTAAGTACAGCCTGGTGCCATTTTATTTCTAAAGGTTCAACATAGTGTTCACTGCACAGTGCTGTCTGGAAAACATTAGGGGTTCAAAAATTATTTTTTAGTTGGGGGGTTTTTTAGAGATTTTTGGCAGGGAATGTGAAATGTAGTTTGAAAAAGCAGAAATCCATGCACCTAACTTGTAAGTTGTAGAAGTTTGGGGCATATGAAACACTCCAATCATGAATCGTTCCTTGATGCATCAGTAGGGTAACAGCAGTTTTATTTTCAGCCAACAAGGTGCTAAGATCACGAACAGGAAATTTCCTTTTAATGCACTTTAAAGCAAAACATTAAAAACCAAATGCATGTAAAGCTTAGGTTGATATCACTTGTTTCTTGAGTCAGGCAGCATCTTAGCACCTGCTTTGCTGCCGTTGCAGCCCTTCATGTCCTTGGACAACTCGGCTGTACGGCTTTACAGACACTCCTCAAATAAGAGGTGGTCTTCATGGGTGGGCAAGCGCAGATCAGGGTTTTTCCAGTGTGTGCAAGAAGTAGAGCCCTTAATAGGGTAAATGTTTCATTTACATGGAAATACCTGTTGGTGTAATGATGTGCAATTGTACGCTTCGAATTCTGCCTTGATGGGGTCTTCTGTTCTCCTCTTATTCTTTGGCTGACTTGAAAGCGCCACAAAGGACTGCGGGCCTCACAGTTGTAACATCTGAGAGCCTTTGTGGAAATCCAGCCCCCGCACACAACCTATGCTATTTTTATTTTTTTTTGCAGTGGTATCCTGAGGTGCGGCACCACTGCCCCAACACCCCCATCATTTTAGTGGGTACCAAACTTGATCTCCGGGATGATAAGGACACTATTGAAAAACTGAAGGAGAAGAAGCTGACTCCCATCACCTATCCACAGGGCCTGGCCATGGCAAAAGAGATTGGTATGATGGCAATGGGGTGACTGTTGACTTGATCTGAAGTTTGTTTGTGGAAAGATGCTGTACCTTAATTAAAATAAATGCCTGGCTTTTGTTGCGGAGTTAGCTAGAAGCAAGGCTGCTGCAGCTGTGGAAAACTGCCTTGTAATTGCTTTTTCGCTCTCCACAGGTGCAGTGAAATACCTAGAATGCTCAGCACTTACGCAGCGAGGCCTCAAGACAGTGTTTGACGAAGCGATTCGAGCAGTTCTGTGCCCCCCTCCCGTAAAGAAGAGGAAGAGAAAATGTCTGCTGCTGTAAACATCGCCCTCCCCCACCCCACTCCAAACCCTGTGCTTTGCTCAGAACAATGGAGCATTCACACTCAATGCCAAGTTTTTCTGTTATAAATTAGTTCTCTTCCATAAATTCTTGAACCAATCAACGATTTCATGGTTTCCTTTTTTTCAAGTATGAAAGTTACCTTGCATTCTTCTAAAAGCAAACTCCTGAAAAGACAAACCTATGTAAAGCCTTATTTTTAAAATCCTTTTCTTGCTCAGTTAAGTGTTGCCAAACTATCTGCTGAACTAAGTTGCATTGTTGTGCTATGAACACTAAGCACTAAACTGTTTTTTAAAGATTCTTCTTGAAAATTACTCTAATTTCTGTTAGGAAATGCAAAAACACTTTCTAGTTTTTCACAGTAAGTAACAGTACTGTGTAATTAGCAAAACACTGCACTCTAATGTGTTTTATTATTAAATGTTTTCTCAGTCCAGTCATTGTGCAGCATTGTGTATTGAACCTAAATTTTTGACAATGACTGACACCCGTGAGTCACAGTGGAAAATGCTTTATCGTTGGTAAGGGCTTGGTTGCAATCTAGTTCTTGCTGCTGTGATTTAGAACAAAATAACTGTTCTTTCTGAAGTCTATCTAGTCCTTTTGACAGCGTTGTATTGTGATGGATAACTGAAATATTGGATCAAACGACAGTGCCAGACAGTATTTTTACACTGTACAGATTACCTTACACTACACTGCCAGGGTCACTGAAACTGAATTGACTTTTAGTGCAGGTTACAATGGGCACCATTTTCCTGAGGTGCAGCAGCAGAGAGAGGTGGTGTTCACAGGCAAATTCCTTTGAGTTTCAAGTAGGGCATTCATTTAGGTACAACTCTGAACCAGTCATTCCCACAACTGTTATGTAGTAAATGCTTTTTTCTTGTAGAATCTCTTCTTACTGAGCAATATAACTTGTATTTTAAAAACCTTTCTGATTATAGAAATCTTTTTTTTTCCCTTTTTATTTTTTTTTGGTAGAGTAGAATGTTCGAGCATATCCTTATTTTCCTGCTTTTTCCAGCTCAGTAAGTTATATGCTGAGGAGCTTTTAGTCTATTAACTAGGTGTAAAAATCATGTGAAGCAGCTTTACACATTTTAGTAATTTTTATATTTTAAACCTCTATAAACTATGAACCCTCCCAAGGACCAGTTTGCAAGCTGTCCCCACCACTGTAACATGACTAATGCAGCCAAGTGTTCTTTATGTCATTACACGTACATGTGCAGCCTAGATTGAGTAATGGTAACTTGGGTCTGTGAGGTTCTGTAAATTAGTGCTAATGTTCCGTACGTACTAAACTGGCAGGAATACAATGTTGAACTACACCCTTTCAACCACTAAAGCAAAATCTAAAAATAAAAGTTGCAAAATTGTGGAGTTTTTACATTGATCTTTTGCTAATGCAATTAGCAGTATGTTTTGCATGTATGACTTAATAAATCCTTGAATCACATGTGGTAATGTTTGAGTTTCTGAGCATGTGTTCTCATTTCTGTACCTCTGAACAAGTGTTCTTCTGCTCATGCCCACAGCAGGGCGGTGCATGTGTCTCCTCGGGGGGGGGGGTGCGCCAAACACACCCTCTTTCAATGGTGCCCTGATCCTAAGAACCAGCATTAAATACAGCACTTGGCAACATTTCTTCAGAGGCTTTGCAGACCTAGGTGTTGCCAGCTCCTGCTCCTACTGATGTGGTATTTTAAAGCTGATAACCAGGGGAGGGGGGGGGAAAAAACAACCACCCAACGAACCAACCTATTACATGCAAATAAAAGTGCTTATCTGTTTGGGTTTTGTGGGTTTGTTTTTTTTTTTTTTGCTAAAACTTATTTTAATGGTTTGTAAAATGACTGCTGTGGTGCAGCACTGTGTGCTTAAATGCCTCAGAGTTGAGCCCTCTAACCTTGCAGCCATGCTCTGTGCTTGTTAGTCCCTGTCTCCAGGGTAGCTGGTCTCACTCTGGTTGGGGGGGAGGGGGTGCGAGGCTGTGGTACCCCAAAAGCAGCGCTGCTATCTCCTGATTGAGGAAGAAGCACATGCAGGGTCTCTGCTGCTGGTGCTGTCTTGCCTTGCAGCACAGCCTGTAGCTCTTCCCACAGCTTTAAACTAGCAACTTGTCACACCCAGCATACCTGAACATCACAAGAGAGGTTGTTTTGGGTTTGTGGGGTTTTTTTGTTTGTTTTTTTGAGAGTGAATTTTATTTTGTCTCCCTATTATCACAGCAAGAACATCCACACAGTTATTCTCAACCACATCATATTACTTATTTATAGCTTTTTTTTCTTTTAAATGAAAAATGCTGCTGAGCCTTAAAAAGAAAAAAGTTAAAAATCATTGCAGAGTAGAAACAAGGAATCAACTCTCTTAAAATCAGTACAACTGGTTACGTGAGTGCTATCAGTAGTCAGAGCTCATGACTAATGATGCCAGGGCATGAGCTATATATACATATAAATTTTTTTTCTTCACATTAAGTAGTTTAGTTTAAAAACCAATAAACATAGTCATGTGGATCAACAAATACAAAAGACAAGTAGATTAAAGAATATTGCACATGGTATATCAAAGCAGCATTTAACCACAACACAACCTCTGTGCGCTGTCCCACAACTGTCTCTACCCTCCCCCCCACCCCATACTACCACAATCTGTAAGAAAAAAATAGTGCAATCAATCTCAACTGCCTGCTCACCAACCCCTGGGGCAGCTGCCCCACACCCCCGACTCCCTCACTCACCCACCTGCACCTGTGGAGCTGGGGCAGCCCTCGCACAAGGCAGTGTTGCTCTGATACCACCTTCCCCACACACAGCGCCTGCCAGGCAGTGCAGAGGTTGGGCACAGGCACTGAGCGACGTGGAAGCAGAACTGGATTTGTAATTTTTTTTCTAAGGTCTGACAGGGCTCTGTCTGATGAGAAGACCAAGGTGTCCTCATGCACTTGCTCTGGTCAAGTTGATGCTTCAGCTCTCGTGTGCCAGCGTACACAGGCTTAGCTCGACCTTGCCATGCTGTTCCACTTTGTAAAAGCTCCACTTTCAGCGTAACTGCAGAATCTGTGCTTTAACCAGCAAAATGGTACTTGAGGTCACTGCAGAGGCAAGGGCATTAGGACCCTTGTTTATTTTATGCAATGTAAGAAAAGTACAGAAATCCACTTACGGATGACAGTGGAATGTGTCCTCAGTACTTGAAAGCTGTAATTAAAAAAACAAAACACCCACACCTTATTCAAGCTATGGTTATACCACATTGGTGTTACATTCTTGTGTGTGACAAGAAACACACGATCCATGTTCCTGAGACAAACTGTTCAGTGCTTTGAGCACTACATCTGGCATGTGGTCTGTTACCATCTTGGGACTTATTAAAATGCTACTGAAGACTCTTTCATCTGACCATCTTGCTGTGTATTTAGTATCTGTAGAGCACAACCTGAAAAAAAACAAACACCAAAAACCAAACAATAAAACCCACACCACAAATACAATGGCCCAGACCCTCAGAGCTGGAAAGGAGGGCTCCCAAGGAGCGACCACTCTGACCTTCAGGAAACAGCTGGAAATACTGCCATTCAACATCCCTGAAGGTAGGACTAAGCCAAAATTGTCTGCACCTAAACTGTGAAAGCAACTCTGGAATAGTCCTGCTCAAAGAAACACGGACTAGAGGCTGAGCAGAGGGGGATAAGGGGTTAAACACTGCACATTCACACAGTAAAGTGTCAAAATTAGGGAGTAAGTCACAGTGGTAGCAGTAGGAGACTAGATGCTAGATTTAATGCTGCATATGACCTATTCAGGATTTTATTTTACAGAACAGTACATGATGGGGGCGTTTATGTGCTAGTCCAATTAAGTAAAAAAATACAGTTACCTGCTGTGCTAATGAAGGAAAGAAATGAAGTTAAAATAGTAGAGGAGCAGTCATCAAGAAAACCTGCCAGGTCACAAGTGTTCAAGTATTCAACTTGTAAAACCAGTATTAAATTTTTTAAACTAAAAATGTGAAAAAAGAAAATACTATCTACTGAATGGGAAGAAAGAAAGTGGATTTCTCTTCTAGCCTTTTTCTTCCCTTTTCTGTAAGGTACAGATTTTCTTTTCTTTTTTAAGATGGTCTTGTGCAAGTTACAGATGCTCCAATGTCTGTTTCAGAATGAAACAAGGGAGAGTATTGAGTTCTGTCCAGCCTGTGGGCAGCTGCAGGTTGTTTTGTCTAAAAAAACCCAGTATCAACAAAACACAAACAACAACAAAAAAAACCCTAAACACAACACTGCCCCAGCAAAACCACAATCCTCACCCTTCCAGCAGTTTTGGCTTTTCTGTGGTCTTTGTCTCACCTTCCTGCACCCACAAAAGCAGGAAAGCACAGGAAACCAGAGGCTGCCTGGGCACACGGGTTACTGGGGCAACTGGGCCTCTCCAGTCTGGCCAGACCAGTATTCCTGGGCAGTATTTTGCCTCCTTTTCACCACCAATATTCATGTGACTGCTCAATAACCAGGTATTCTGTTATCACTGCCTAGCCTCAACAGTCATCTTGTTTAAGACCATCCCTTGAGCACAGGCAGAATAAGATGCGTAGGCATAAAGAGAAATGGTTTCCAGGGTTTCAAGCGAAACAGCAAGAAGCAGGGAGGCACAGAATAAAAACTGAAAAGCTGGCTAATGCTTAGAGGCAGGTGAGAAGCAGAACTGAAACACGTACTTTGAAAGTGAGAAGCAGCTTTCAGTAGATTTTAGGAAAACAAGCAGTGGTATTCATTATTCTACTTACCTCCTCGAGCTGGATTCTTCTACAATATGTATAATCTTTCCAGGAAGATACAGAGGAGGATACTGAGGCGGTGAATTTGAGTGTGATTCGTCCTCAAGAGCATTGTATGAAGGTGACCGATGAACCATTAAACTCTCCTCAGCCAGCAGTGGCTGGGTGAGGGCATCCTGGTTTCTGCCACCCAGCTCAGTTGGGAAGTTATCTGGATCTCCTCCAAACACTTCATACCAACACCCATGCAGCAAAATCTGGTACTGAATTCAGAAAGAAAAACAGTCAAATTGTGGTTTGGCATCTCTTCAAGTAACTTACTCTAGTTGTGTGCTTGCACGCACATCATCTGAAACTAGAATCAGAAGATGAAAAATGACTGTATGCACATGCTCCCCAAACTTTTTGTTTCATAAAACCTTACAGAATTTTCTCCACAGTAATTATCTATTTCAGCAATAGCTAACCCAAGCCACTAAAGAAAACATTACAGTCTTTACTAGTTGAGTTATT